TTTCCCAGACCCGGCTGAATGGACACGCTGTGTCTGGAAGGGCGAGGCAAGAGCAGGAAGAGGGCCAGGTGCAGCCCCAACTCCTTGAGACCTCAGCGTGCTTCCCGAGAAGGCGCCTCTGAGCCTCTGCCCCCTGAGCCCCGGAGCCCGGGTGAGCGCCAGCCAGGCACTTTGCGACCTGACTCCAAAGCTGGGCTCAGGTCCCCTGGACCCTCTGGAAACATCTGCGTAGGTGTCCTAGGCCTGCCTTGCGCAGCTTTGTAGGTGGAAGTTCTAGACCAAGTTGCCACCCGCCCGGAGTCATCCGGGCCTGGGGCCCACAGCAGCCCTCGGCAGTCGGTAATGTGGCTCTTTCACTGTGGGCTCAAGGTCTCCTGCTCCGGGCAGGGCAGACTGGTGCCCATAGTCTGTTAGGACAGAGGTGGGTATTTGCCAGGAAAGTCCTCAAAGCCAGAAGACAAGAGTTCAAGGGGTGGGGCTGAGGGTGGAGTGGTGGTTGAGGTGCTGGACTTCCATACAGCTGATCACAGTTCGAGTCCTGGACCTGGTGGATTGAAAATCATGCTGGATACACGTGCATGTGTGCCCCATAGTCTGATGGGATGCAGACATGAAGGGAAAAGGACGGCGTGACCACGTCCCAAAGTCTGGTGGGCTCCTATGAACAAGTGACCAGTGACGTTGCTGGGGCAACAGGACAGTGCCTGGCCCGCGGGAAGCTCTGAGTTGTGGCAGATGTCAGCAGAAAGAACTGGGCAGCCCCGCTCAGGAGTCCTCTGCCCAAAGTAACTCCAGTTTTAAACTACAAGAGACAAGGATGCCTGGGGCCAGCACGTGGTGTGGTTAAGGGCGCTGAACTCCCACACGGTCGACTGCAGTCTGGCTGAACTCCCACATGGTCGACTGCACCTAGACCTGGTGGCTTGCTTTCTCACTTTCCTTCTCTCTCTCCATCTCTCTCTCTTACTCTGTCCCTCTCTAGTCAAATTAAAATAAGTAAAGGTAAACAAATTAATTTTAAAGAGAGAATGATCCCAACAGTGCCTGAGTTTACAGAGTCCTATATTCCTTTCTGATGTCTTTCAAAAAATAATCACTCTACAGAAGATTGGGGGTGGGGAGCAGTTATTATTTATTTATTTATTTATTTATTTATTTTGAGAGGTTTTTGCTATAGGGCACGTCACAATCCCTTCTCCTCTGTTCTCCTCTCGGGATCTTGGGCATGCACGCACATGCGCCTGGCGTGAGTTTTAAGCCACTGGGTCCAGGACGTGAACTGCAGTCGGCTACATGGGAGTCCAGCGACATAGCCATTACACTAACTGCTGGTCCCGGGAGCAGTTTTTTCACCAGAAATAGAAAGAACTGACTTAGTGGTTAAGAAGATCTTCCCAAACCTCCAGGTGTCAAGATTCTCATATACATTTTTTTTTAGAGTTTTTTTCGCTATAGGGCGCATGCTCTCGCCAGACAGACAGAGACATAGAGACAGAAAGCAAGAAATCATCCCCCGGGGGGATGGCCATGCCGCAATCCCTTCTCCTCCATTCTCCTCTCGGGATCTCGGGCACGCATGCACACGTGCCTGGCGTGAGTTCTAAGCCATCGGGTCCAGGACTCGAACCACAGTCGACTACATGGGAGTCCAGTGACATAGCCATTATGCCAACCGCTGGTTCCCAAGATTCTCATATTAACAAGGAAACCGAGACTCACACTTAGGGAATTGTCTATGTAACCTCACAGCACCCAGAGGTGGCAGAGTCAGGCACCAGACAGCCTGGCCTCAGCACTGGCTGCCAACCCTGCAACGGCCCAGCCCCTTCCTCACGGCCCCCATTACCTCCCGGTTCCTCAAGCTGTAAATGAGGGGGTTGAGCATAGGAGTAAGAACCGTGTAGAACACAGAGACCACCTTGTCATGGCTCGGGGCCCGGTACCGCTTAGGCCTCAGGTAGATGAACATGGCTGCACCGTAGAAGAGGGAGACCGCTGCCAGGTGGGAGGAGCAGGTGGCCAGAGCCTTCTTCCGAGCCCGAGCAGAGTGCATGCGGAGCACAGCCCCCAGGATGCGTGCATAGGAGGCCACGACAATGGAGAAGGGGAGGAGAAGCATGAAGACACAGCAAGCAAAGAGCAGGGTATCAAAGAGGGACGTGTCTGCACAGGCCAGCTTCAGTAGAGCTGGCACCTCGCAGAAGAAGTGGTCCACCTCCCTCGAGCCGCAGTAGGGGAAGGTCATTACCACCACCATCTGAATCAGCCCGTCGGTTATCCCGAAGGCCCAGGAGCTCCCAGCGATCTGGAGACAGACCCTCCGACTCATCAGGATGGGGTAGTGAAGGGGGTGGCTGATGGCCACGTAGCGGTCGTAAGCCATGAGTCCAAGCAAGAGCCCCTCAGATCCCACGAGAGAAACGAAGAAGCCGATCTGGATGCCACAACCCACAAAGGAGATGGACTTCCTGCCGGACAGGAAGTTGACCGCCATCTTCGGCACGATGTCACAGACCAGGATGAGGTCCATGAGGGAGAGCTGACTGAGGAAGAAGTACATGGGTGTGTGCAGCTGGGGGGCCACGTAGATGAGGAAGATGAGGAGGACGTTCCCACACAGGGCCACTGTGAAGACCACCATCACCGCGGAGAAGAGCACGAGGTCGGCTGGACTGTAGGAGAAGATGCCCAGGAGGACAAAGCCGCCTTCGGATGACTGGTTCAGCCACATCTCCATGGCCCAGTCATTCCTGGTCACCTGAGAACATGCACAAGAACTGGACTGAGCAACATCTCCTTGCTGAGTTCATCTGCAGCTTCTGTCCATTGTCCCCTTTGTCACTTGACGTCAACACCCATGCAAGGAGACACTCCCTCCTGTCCTGAGACACAGCAGAGGGCCCTCCTAGCTCACAGAGGTGGAACTGTGTCCTTTTGGTCTGTGTCCTTACCGAGGCGAGACAGTGACCTCTGCAGTGGGACTGGTGGGCAGCCCATTCCGCAGGCGGTCTCAGTCTCACCGTGCAGCACCAAGTCTCCATCTGCTTCATGTGGATTGGAAAACTGTGTTTGACAGGTCTGGACTGTTCTGTCCCCAAGAGGTAACTTACACATGCGGAGATGGAGGGGAGGTGTGCTGTCTTGGTCTGACCTCCTCTGTGCTCTGAGGGGAAGGAGACGTTGTTAGGGCCCCATGTGAGAGAGAAAGGGTTGGGCTGGGGCTGGTGGAGGAGTCTGACCCGGTAGGGCCCCAGGATCTGTTTTGAGCCTTTGACCTTTGAGCACAACCTTGGTCAACTCAGCAAGTTGGCAAGGCTGCTGCTATATGCTCGCCCCCCTACCCCCCACCTATGAGCATAGCTTGGGTCGACTCAGCATGTTGGCAAGACTGCTTGCTGTATGCTCCAGAGACTGTGGTAGCCTTGCTGGGAAGCGACCCCCCTCTGACTCCCTGATATACTACTATAAAAGAATTACATAGCTGTCTCATACATCTTGAGTAATGTGATAAGATTTCCCAAAAGTCCCCCGACCACTCCCTTTGCCTGACCACCTACTGTTAATTACAATGTTTCATCCCTGCGGTCACAATAGAGGGTGTGCTGAAGTTCCATCTAGGCAGAAATAATCTTCTTGACCTTTGGAAGGCCCTTCAAGATACATTTAACATAAGCTTAAAAATAATCTTTTCTTTACATAAAATAGGATTAGGCCAAAACTGGTCCAGGACACCCCTGCCCTCACCAAGTGAAATAGATAAATGTATTAGGAGTCTTTAAATTACGTTTTAGATCCCTATAAAACTATATAAGTATCATTCTTTATTGAGATCCATAAGAACTAATACCTATACTTGAGATTTTCTTTTTAGCATCATACTCAGTAATCACAAGATGGCTGCCACTGAGCATCGGCTGATAATTAACTCTGCTTGCTGGAGGCTATTTCCCGAAACAGCATTCCATGAAGTTTCTGAAGACCTGCCTACATCAAACAAACAATTGCTGAACTGTAATAGACCCGCCCTTAATCCAACCCTGAATGGAATCTATGTTCCCTATTGTTAAAACTTTATAAACTGATAATTAGAACACGTAGTCCCTCACCCATTTACTTGCATGTATCACATTTTCAATAAAAAGGCATGATAATTCCTAGCAGTTGTCACTCTTCAGAGAGCGATCTCAGGGAGTGTCCGATTGAGGATGTGCATGAAAATGGCACCGAGGCCTCAGTCTTTCCTTCCTGCACTGCCTCCAACGAGATAACCCACCCCTGCTGAGGCTGGACCCTGACAGACTGGGTGGTCCTGTCAGTCACTCGGGGGTGACAGGAAAGTCCAGGGCTGATGGGAGGAACAATGGGTGGTCCTAAACCTCTTAGTCACAGTGAGGTCTTAAGTTTTGCTGAGGCTTCAAACTTAATCCCAGGGTCAAGGCCTGGCTACCTGTGACTGGCGGCCAGTGTAACACCTGCATACTCAGTTATTTTTTAGTAGAAATCAGCAAACCTTCTTTTTTTTAAGTTTTTTTTTTTTTTCACTATAGGGCACGTGCACTCAAGAGACTGAGAAAGAAAGACTGAGAGAGGGAAAGTGAGAAATCATTCCCTGGGGGGATGGCCACACCACAATCCCTTTCCTCCATTCTCCACCTGGGATGGGATTTTGGACATGCACCACACATGTGCCTGGCATGTTTTTCAAGCTGCTGGGTCTGGACCTCAAACTGTGGCTGGCCATGTGGGAGTTTGGTGCCTTAACTACTACACTACCTGCTGATGCCTCAACAAACCTTCTTTATAAAACTCTTCTAACTGACTTTTTGAGCCAGTTACTCACTGTTTATTTAGAGAGAAATTCTTGCTGTAGGGCACATGTACTCGCAGGAGAGACAGAGATAGACAAAGAGACAGAATGAAAAATCACCTCCTAGGGGGCTTAGCCATGCTGCGATCCCTTCTCCATTCTCCTCTCAGGATTCTGGGCACACACACACACGTTCCAAGCTGCTGGGTGCAGGACTTGAGCCGCAGTCAGCCATGTGGGAGTCCAACGAGGTGACCATTACACCGTCTGCTGATCCCTTACTCGCTGTCTTTTTTTTTGGGGGGGGGGGAGGTTTTTTGTTAGTGCTCACCAGAGAGACAGAAAGTGAAAAATCACCCCTCAGCAGGGATGGCCACACTGCAGTCCTTTCTCCTCCAGTCTCCTTTTGGGATCTTGGGCATGCACATGCGCCTGGCTTGAGTTTAAGCCACCAGGTCCGCGACTCAAACTGCGGTCGACTACATGGGAATCCAGCGATCTAGCCATTATGCCAACTGCTGGTCCCGCTTACTCACTCTCTTATCCAAGTTCCAATAAATTTATTTGGAGTCTATCAATGAAGAGGGCTTTCCCTTGACCTTTTTTTTTTTTGAGAGATTTTCACTGTAGGGCGCGTGCGCTCGCCAGACAGACAGAGAGAGACAGAGAGACAGAAAGTGAGAAATCACCCCCCGGGGGGATGGTCACACCACAATCCCTTCTCCTCCATTCTCCTCTCGGGATCTTGGGCACGCACGCACACGCGCCCGGCGTGAGTTTAAGCCACTGGGTCCAGGATGCGAACCGTGGTCGATTATGTGGGAGTCCAGCGACATAGCCATTACACTAACTGCTGGTCCCAAACATTTGTTTTAAATCCCTTATTATAGAAGAAAACTGGAGACATGACCTGATTTTCAAGAAAGCCCAGACAAAAGATAAGATCAGGTCAGGCTGTGTCGGAGTGGTTAGGGCAGCTGAGTCCCACACGGCGGACCACACTGTTCAAGTCCCAGACTCAGTGGCTTGAAAACATACCATGCACACGCATGCCCAGCTCTCCAGAAGGAAGGAGGGTGAAGGAGAAGGGGCTGTGGTGTCCTCTGTCCCTGTGGTGCTTTCTCGCTTTCTGCTCAGTCTCTGGAGTGTGCACCTGCCCCTGGCAAGTTTTACAAAAGTAAAATTATGGGCATTAAAAAAGCCTACTGATGGCAGTCAACACGTTAGAACTCAAGGCAGATAACAGAATAAACACCCAAGCAGAAAACGTCATGCTATTCCGATCATAACTCTTTTATCATTATCCTTGGCCACACACTCTCACCCAGGGGAGCCTTGTCTCATCCTTAAATCTCAGAGTCCAGACACTCCTTCCAAGCCTCAGCCCCAGACTGCCGGTCTGGCGTGGAGCACACAGTCTCGCACGCAGGCTGTGAAACCAAGCGCGAGGCGGGGTTTCGGGCCTACATGCCCCATAAAGACGCGTCCCCTCCTCTCAGGGCTTGGTCGTGAAGGGGCTTCCCGGGCACCCACGTCTGCCCACGTGGCACGAAAACCATGCTGACCTATGCCACGTTGGTTCCTGCAGCCCCTGATGGGTCCCCTGCTTCTGTGCCCCACAACCAGAGGGTTCTGCCACCGTGGTGCCAGTCTTGTGGAGTACGCACTGGCAACTTGCGAGGCCCTGCACCCTGGGGCAGCCGGTGCACTGCCCAGCTCCCAGCCAGGGCTGTGGCTGCAGGTGTGTCTGCTCTGTGGGCCCCTTCACTTCTCCCTGGAGTACACACTCCGACCTCGGGCCCTTTCCCTGTCTGCACCGAATGCCCTCCCCCACTCTCACTTCCCGTCTTCACCCAGGTGCCATTTTGTCATGGAGAGCTTTCTGCAAGGCGCCCCAGCTCTGACCCTGCAGCCCTGTCCCCACAGCCCTTCCTGATCCGGCCAGTGCTGCTGCCTTTCTGCCAGCTGCCTTCCACTAGAAGGGGAGCATCCCGAGAGTGGGGTCCTCTGCTTTGCTCACCCCGCTGTGCTGCCCCAGGGTGGCCTGGTGCTCAGATACGTGGGCTGACGGAACAAGCCATCCCGCTGAAGCCACCTGCCACCACAGCTTCCCGCGCTCAAGTGGAAAGCTCCCCGCGGACTGCCAGGAACCTTGATCTTGACCTGAACGAGGCAGGAGCTCACCGTTCCATTCCTGCCTCGGAGGGACGGCGCGCGGCCACCTCAGAGCCACCCCCATCATGTACAGGGACGGGCTGATCACAAGTAGATGCCGGTCCGCTGCAGACCCAGGCCTGCCTTTCCTCGCCAGGACAGAGAGGCTGCTCTGCGGGGCGGGGACTCCGCGCAAAAGCGCCGGGACCTCTGCGGCCAGGACAGACCTGCCTGGACCCACAAGCCTGGAGGGGGCTGTCTGATCTAGGTCCCTCCAGAGGGGGGATGTCGGGACTTGTCCCTTAGGTGTGCCTAGTGTCCTTGTCACCGACACCTGGTGCCACGACAGGAGTCTCTACAGGAGCGCATCACCGGCCGCAGCCTTCACCTCCCTCCTGGCCCTGCCGGTCCCAGGCTCAGCCCCAGCAGCACAAACCAGGCACCCCTTGACCTCCCCGCCGAGGACCCCGTGGGGGCACTTGCCGTGAGCCTCCTCCGGGGGGTGAGGCCTCCCCTTTGCTCTCTCCTCTCTCACCCCCACAGTCTCGCCAGACGTGTGTTAGCACACACCTCCCTCCAGAGCAGCTCGCCCTAGAAAAGACTTCTGCAAATGTAAGACAGAAAACCAAAAAGGGCACCTGAAGTTCTGGGGTTTGCTGCTGTTGTTATATTGATATTTTAGTTTTTGTTATAGGGTGTGCATGCTCTCTGGTGGGGTCAGGGTGACAGAGTAAGAAATCACCTCCCGGGGGACGGCCACACTGCAGTCTCTGCTCCTCCACTCTCCTCTCAGCATTTCGGGC